AATAACGTAGGCAGCAAAGATGTTAATGAACCTTCCTTTTCTAAGTAAGTAGCAGCCCTTGTTTTGGGCCAAATTTGACAGATAATGGTAACGTAATATGATAGAATATAATATAATATAACATTGCACTTGGATGTGAATTTAGGGGGAGATGGGTGTACCAGCCAAGTCTGAGTCACTCAACACTGCAGAACTTACTATACAACTCATTGAGCAATGCCCCGGGTATTGCTTATAAAGAATGGAATGGACTTACTTTAGCTGATACACTGGCTACTCCATTTTCTTCACATACAGCCAAGTAATTTTTACTAAAATGTACCTCTCTGACTTTTTTTTCCCCCCAGAAAAGGCTATTTCAGTGACGCATCTAAATGTTTTTTTATGCCTCCAAAAATCTCGGGAACAAAAGATGTTTTTAATGGCTCACTCATGTTTTTCTATCAAGAAATGGAGTCATTGAGGATCTATCTTTAAATAACTTAAGTTATATTCAGGATCAAAAATGCTCCCCCCGTTAACTTTTGAGCAGAGAGTAAGTGTGGACTATTAGACAAAGAGGGAAAAGTCTTGGAGACTTGGACTAATGAAAACAACATGTTAGAAAAAATGCATATCTCTCTTAAAAATGTTATTGTGTCTGAAAATGGTTTTAAGCAAGTGAGTTATGTGACATGATACATTTTTGGGGAGGTTACAGAATAGGAAAATAGAAGAAATGGGGGTGGAAGGTAGATTCTGGATGCAATTTATTTTACTGCAGTATGGCAAAAAGGGGGAAATGAACTTTTGAAAATTGGGAACTGAAAATATCAAAACTTTGAATGGTTGAGGAAAACTCTGATCTTTATTTTTTTTCTCTCTTCCGCCCAGCCCCCAGAAAAGGTTGAAATAAAAAATATTGTAGTTTTAGCTCAGAAACAGAGGTGACTGACAACTGTGAGACTGTGTTCTTACCTGCTCAGTTCACTACTGGATGGGCACGTCCTTTTGAAACGAAGACAGAGCCGTGGCAGATCTGAGTGTTGGCATCACTGGCAGAGCTGCCGCGGAGCTGGAGCAACTGAGAGCACCTTTGAAAATTACTGTGTGTTGACAAAGTCTTTTCTTGGCAACGAAACCATCCTCTAAGTCTCAGGAGTAGAGGAACAAAATTTCATCGCATGTAAATAATTGTCTAAAAATAGAAGCACAGATTGCTTTTCACATTAAGTTCCTTCTTCATACTAAAGTATATACCGCATTTAAAAAACAAGGGACTATCAGCAGTCCAAACTGAAAAATGAAGGGCCTGCATTAGCTTTGTCTGTAAAAACCGCTTCCAGTATTTAGGATGAACCATTTTGAATCGAGTATTCTGTATCCTCTTTTTTCAGTTTGCCTTTTTTAATGTATCTGAAGACATTCTCAGCCTGTTTCATTTAAAGCAAGTTTGGAAAGAGGACACTGTGGTTTATGGCCGTGTGTCAGGTTTGATAGTGCTATGCCATGATTTAGCAAAGCACTTAAGCACATGTCCACATCCCACTGAATTGGTTAGGAAGTGAAGAAGCAGAGGAAGAACTGTTTGTTGTGCAGCAAGCACAGGGGGGGAAAAAAAAAAGCAATTGAAAAAAAAGGATTTGTCATTATACGATTAGAGATCTTTTTACCAAATTCTTTAAGCTCGACTCAAACTCATAGATCAGATTAGATGGTGATTATTAAACATATTCAATCATTCAAAATGAAGTATTCTAAACTGGGCTGGTTCAGACCACTGAAATAGATCAGCTAATTATGGTACACGTGGGTGTACTGGGTAGTCATCTGACTTTTATTTTTTTTAGATATCTTGCCTAGCGCCCTGCCCCCTCCCCAAACCAGCATTTTAGACACCATGATAAGTCTTCATTACATGCAGTATTAAGCCGGAGTATCGGAGTATTACTTATCAGCCTTTCCTAATTGCTTCTCATTTTCCGAATGCTTCATTTGATGTGCCGATGCTGAACGCCGAGAACTGTAAAAGAAATCAATGAGAAGAGTGGCTACTTGGCATATCTGCAATAGAAATGGGATGTGTGCGTGAGCGGGAGATGAAAGCGGGGTACCAGCGAGGAGCCAAAAGATGCACTGGGGTTTTCTGCCAGCCTGGTCTGGAGGCCAAGCTGGGGAATGTTCCTGGGTGAAATGCAACGTTTGGGAAGAGATGCGAGTTGTTTTCCTCTGTTCGGAGAATCAGGACTTCGTATATCTTCTTACCAATAAACAGGACGGTATCAAAAAGCTACTTGCTAGAAAGATATTTGATACCATTATTGCACTCTTCCCTCAATGGAAACTACCTAATTTTAAATTGTGGCTAACTATTCGGGTCACCTGGGAGCCATAAATTATAATTCAGTAATAATCATGAGTGGTAATCTCTTTACCGCTGATTCCCCGTGTGGCCTCAAGCACGCTTTCTTTAATCTGTAGAGTGGAGACATTAATGCTTTCTTTTTTTTGTCTTGCAATGCAGATAATGTAAGTGCTCTCTGAATGTACCATGATGAATTTTATAGCAGCTATGGAAAAATAGCTAGTTCTGTATCTCTCTCTCACTTAAAAGAAAATATGATATTGGCTGTGTTCAACGATTTTTTTTCCGTCCTATGCACTAAGGTAAAGGCCCAGTGGAGAAAGTGTCATGGCAATCTGTAATTATGGAGTAACACACAGGTAAAAGGAAGCTGAATCAAGCCAAGGTGTGCCATTTAAGTGCTAGTATTGAAGCTGATCAACTTCACAGCTGATGTGGTCATCTTGCCAGGTAGCACTTTTGGGATGTATTCTTCCCCTCTGCATTCTCTGGGCTGCTGTTGCCAAGAACCCAAATTTTACTCAAAAATGATACGACATGCGTTGAGTTTGGGTCTGAAAGCTCTGCTCTCATTCTGTAGGCCCTCCTAAAAACACTTGCGATGCTTTTCCTAAGTAAGAGGAAAACCTGGGGAAGCTCGCGTTGATTCCCTGAGCTTCCTCGGCATTAGCTCAGGGAAATCAAACCATAATTTCCCACTTCGTACAAATCCGGAGCCGGAGGGGGGCTGGCGGCGGGGCATTCCCCCAGCTGGGGCCGCAGCCGCGCTCCCTCCCTCGGCCTCGGCGGAGCCGGAGCCCGGCCAGCCCGCACCGGGACCCCAGCCTTAGTCCCACGCTGTTTCACTCCTAAGGCACTTAAAGCTGCGGATTAAGTAGCAGGGAGCGGAGCTGCAAATTCCAATTTTAATCAACTTATTACTTCAGGAATGCGTATCCACCTCTTCCCTCCGGTCATCCTGTTCGAGAGGGCCCCCGGCACCCCGGGGGCTC